GCCATAACATTCACTGAGAGCTCTTAGGCCATTATTCTCGCTTAGGTATGTAATTTTATGAAATGTTTCTGTAGTGGCCCCCAAGACTTGGAATTGCATTCTAAGGAAGGCCTGTCTTTTCCTCGTATCTTACTAGAAATTAGTGAAGATATTCCTTTTCAGGAGCGCGTTCTACGTGCAATCTTCCTTTTTGATTGGAATGAGTTTTTCTCCTGCTGTTTTTTTAAAATACATATTTCCATTATCTGTTGAATTCAGGGGAGGATATAAATATTTTAAATAAATTAATGCTTTTTAAAGAAAAACTGGGATAATTCCACATACACTGTTCGAATTTTGGAGGAATTCTGGGATAGAGATATGTATGTAATTTTGAATTTTTGAAAGGGATAGTCTTGTTATCTGGAATTAGAGAGAGGAATGGTGTACCTTTAGCCCAAGATCATCCAATAAGTTCATAACTGAAATGAGATTTGAAGCTAACATTCTGGGCCCACAATGCAGGAAACAGTGTAATTCAGATACAAGAGACAAGAATATATGTAGCTTGGGGTTAAACTGTTGGGTCCTTGGTGCTCTCTGAGCTTGGTTGTCTTCATTACCCAACTAGGTAACATCATCAGTGTGAGGGAGAGTGGAATTTGCTGGCTACTATATATAGGAAACATCAGTTAGGGAAGACATACAAAGTTTCTTACTACAGATCTATTCTTGAAAAATAGTTGCATCTCTGTTTATTATAAAATATAAATGACAAGTTCCTAAATGGTCTTAAAATATCATGTATTTACATATGTGATTATGCAGTTTAAAGCATAAAAATATGATCACTGAAAAAAAGAAGTTAATGGGTGTTATACCCTGGTACCAAATTCAGGTAGTCCTCGCTTACCAATAGTAATTGGGATCAGGAATTCCGTTGCTAAGCAACATGGTCGTAATGTACAATGTCATGTGACTGTGCTGACTTATGACAGCAATTCCAGCAGTCCCAGTTGCCGTTAGGCAAATCCTGCAGGGCCGGTGTTTTGTGGCCACATGATTGTGATTCAGGCACTTGGCAACTGGCTCACAGTTATGACGTCACAGAGTCCCGCGGTCATATGATCACCATTTGTGACCTTGACTGCCAGCTTCCCCTAAGCAAAGTCAATGGGGAAACCAGCAGGAGGTCGCAAATGGTGATCACGTGACCATGGGATGCTGCAATGGCTACAACTACGAGGACCTGTCATAAGTCCCCCTCATTCAGCACCTTTGTAACTTTGAACAGTCACTTTGAACGAGTGGACCTTAAGTGAGAACTACCTGTGTTTTCTTCTCCATAATTTGTTGGTTCATGTGTTTATGGTAGTATAATGAGGATGGGGGTGTGGGTAGGGATCGGAAAAAAGCAAAGGAGGCCACAGAAACCCAGCAACAGCCAGATTTCACATAGGGACTGATGGGCCAGACAAAAGTGATTGAACAGGAACAGCCTGTAAAATTCACAACTAGCACTGAGAGAAGATATTATGAACTGCAGCAGGGAGAAGCTGGTACAGCTAACATAATAGGAAAGATTTTTAGAAAGCCAGTCAGAATGGGCAGTGAAGGTTTGGAACCCTGCTTTCTCAGACAAAGGACGCACACAAGTCTATAATCATGACGTTTATTTGGGATACTCACTTATCTATGCCTGTCTCTATTATAGCAAGCTCTTGATATAAGCACATAGGAATGGGAAAAAGCCTGTGTTACCATCTGACCCCAGAAGGACTTTTCTCTTGAAATAAATGTTCTGCTATCTTTGCAGGCAGGATCTGCAATAACATCTTTAAAATGTGTTATTTTTTGCAATTTGTCCCTCTTCAACGACCAAAGCAAATGGAGATGACCTTTAAACAATAGTTTGTTTCTGCTCTGCTGGGTCTGAACAAAAAGCTTTCTATTCCATATGCATGTCTATGCAGCTGTAGATATTTCTATGGTGAAAGGTCAAGGCTTTTCATGACCTTTGCAATGGATGACCTAACTGAAAAATCACTACGGCCTCTTCTATTATTTTTTTGTTGCAATTTCAGAAAGGGTTCTCAAAATGTTCTAATTCCTTAAGGTTTGTGGAAATTACTGAAGTGCATCTAGCAGTTCTGATTTATTTGACTGACAAAAATTGAGTCAAATTATAATTCAAGTCATCGTGAATGAACACTAAGTCTTGAGGCTTGTTACTTGCAAAGATGTTAACTTACAGTTACAGCAATTTAATCATTACACTAGAAGAAATAAGGTCATTTTATTTCCTCCCTTGCTTAAAAAAAAAAAAATGGAGCACCCTGTGTTCCTTCCTTTAAGCATTTCTCAATGCACTGGAAGCAAGTTATTCTTACACCTGAACTGATTTAGCTGTTTTGGCTCCATTCATAAATTTACAGGAACTGCATTTCAGTGGCTTCAGAAATAGAATTTTTCAGACTTGTATGGAAGCTATACTATATGGGACAAACTTCTCTAATACTCTGAAGAATGATCTATTAGACAGAGCAGACCACTGTGGATAGATATATAGCTTCGCATTCTCAGTGTATCTGGAAGTTACCACATTGAGGAAGATAAATAGTCAGACCTACATTCCTGGCATCACAGCTGTCTAACCTTAGAAATATTAACTGTATTATGAACAACCTTTAAGTTCACTTGGATTCTAATTTCCAAGAACCCTTTTATTATTTTTGTTTAAATGAAAGTTTCTTTGGTATAAGCTCAGAAAAGATTTCCACTGGCAAAAAACAACAGAGAATCTGTGTTATAGGAGAAAAGATATTTTATCCCAATAGTTAAATCTGTTAACTGTGTACCTGTTCATAAACATTAGATTGGACTGAATTTAAATTTCATTTAAAAATTGTTCAGTGTTCTGCCACGAATACAATCTTAACAAGTAACACATGCCAAGGTATGATGTGCGCTTTCATTTTTAAATGCAGAATTAGTTAATTATATTAGCCACACAGTCCAAGTGACAGATTATTCCATGTATATGTTTCTGGATATTCCTTCTTCCATTTGGGTATAATCATAACTAATTTTCTCCCCAGATCTCATGCTATTTTCAATCATTTGAGATTAAGAAATTATTCCTATTTTGAAAGTTTAAAGAGAATTCATGTGACAAAGAGATTCTACTTTTACATCATAAAAGAAAAGGAGATTTTCAGATTCTTATCTGCATTTCTGGCATAATTTAGACCATCAGTCAAGGGAAACCTTATTCCCTGTTATGTTAGTAAGCGTTACCTCCTCCCAAACTTAACTATTGAGTTATAGAGGCTCAGGGTTCTTGTTATGTTAATAAGTACTGTCCTAATCTGCACAAAATACAGTGAATACACTTTTCAATTTACATATCTATAATTTCCTGTCAATACCACAGCTAGAGATTTGCATAAGAGTCATCTGCTAGGCTTTCACTGAACTATGTTGATTAGATTAGATTATGATCTACCTTTTTGAAGTCAGTGACTCTTTTCACAGTATGTAGCTAAACAAGTCAGCCACTCCATCAGACAGCTGACCTATTTCTGTGAGCCAGCTGCACAGAATCACGGATAACCCAGTCAGATGCTGCAAAGAAAGTTCAGAGACTGCAAATTCATTCTGACCCAAGTGAAAAAAAAGTTTTAAAAAAATGTGGCATTCATGAGGAATGGCGCTATCATGGATATTGGGTGGCTCATCCCACCCTAAGGGATGACACATAAAAAGATGGAGGTCCTAGAGGGACCCCATATTCACATGGCATGGCACACAGGGTCAATGTTAACAAAAAATATCTGATCTGATCTTTCTGCACCAAAGATAAAAGCCAGAAGAATATGGCAATAGAATCAAATAAGGATATATATCTAAAGGAGATATGGGAACAAAGCAAAATGGCTTTCAGGAATATTACTCTATCAAAAATATTGTAATAAATAAAATATGGAATATGATTGGTAGGGTTTTTTGTTTTTGTTTTTTGGTATTTTCTCAGGCAATGTTTCTGAAAATTAAATTCTGTTTTCTTTCAGTCACTGAAGATCATGACAGATTGTAGCCAGCATTTTGTCTAATTATGACTTGTATTATGCAAACACTAACAGCTTTTTTTCTCTTTTAATATAATGTATAATTTCGGTTCTTTTATACTATGTATTAGGAAAGTCCATGTATTAGATTATAAATTAAGTAAATATTTCTTTTAAAAACATAAGCTGTGTTTTCATTAGAAATACTGCTTTTTACTAAATCAGGAAGCAGAAACCTCTTTAAACATTTATTTGCTCTATTTGGCTAATTCTGTTTATTTTAATTTGCTACCGTTTAGAACTTTTTTTTTATTTTTGTAAACTATCTTAAACCTTTCACATTTAAATGATATGATCTAAATTCTACAGATGGAAATAATTATCTCAGTTCTTTTAGTCCATTATATCTCTTGTAACATTCATGTTTCAAACTCTACTCCCACACCATATCTGGACACAACTGAATGGTGGGATATAAATTATGTAAATGAAGATAAAATTCTTGGCATCATCTTCTGATACATATCCACAGAAAACAAGACTTGAGAAGGGGCATTTCCACACTGCCACCTTCTACACTCCCCAATCCTTCAAAAGCAATTTGAAGCACAAAATAGGGTGAGGCAAGAGTTCCTGTCAATGGAAAGACAGTCCATTCACAATGCTCCGCAGAGCTTCCATGTTTCAATGGGAAATCAACTTCAGTGTGATTCCAGATGTTCTATACCTTAAGCTGAAACCTAAGAGACTCAGCTGCCAAACAATGGTATGAGATCATGAAGATGCTAAGCTGATTGTAGAGCATTGCAAAAACTACATATCAGGGTAACATCAACTCTCTAGCGCATTTTTTAGGAAATTTCACAGCATTCCTTAAAATGATCATTAAATACTACTACAAAGCTGATTTCTAAAAGAGGACACGGTGAAGATGGGAAATTGATGTGATTCACATTTTATTGATTTTTATTTAATAAAAAAAGACAGGATCAGATTAAAAATACAAACACTTTGGGTGATTATCCAGCGTTTCCCTCTGCTTCAAAGTAATCGAACCAACAATAAGCATAATGAAAAACAAAACAAAACATTTTTTAAGGTAACGTTTTGGCCAAAGCTGTAAAATAATGCAGAACCAATTAAATTATACCAAAATATATTATTATACCTTTGAAATGGCTTTCAGACCAATAAATTAAAAGAAGACAAATAAAAAGTCAACTTTAAAGACAAAAAAAAATCTTTGCAAATTAAATAAGGAAAAAAAAATTACACAGCACTAGTAATAACAATGTGCAGTCAAGAGTTCTGGTTCTTCTAGGAATGATAATATGCCAGTAAGTCCCTACAGAACATTTTCCAGTTTGGCAGCAATCAGTTAATCAGTCATTCACATTTGTATACAAGATGACAGGCCTGGGCCACAACTTAGATAGAGCTCCATTTGAGGACAATTCTTAGTTCTTCCCAGGAGCTGTTGAGAGTTCCCTTTTCTTCTCAAAATTTATTAACTGCATGTTAAACTGAGCTTGAGGACAGGTAGCAAAAGTTAGCAGTGTTCTACTCTAAGACAACTCAGACCAGTCCTGTCTTAGTTTTCAAAGGAGAAAGGTTTGCATATTCCTGGATCAAAGCATGGTCTTTAACTTAAAGCAAAATTTATCCAGATTACTGAAACATGCTGTTTTCTTTTCTTTTTTTTTAAGTTGTGTCTTTAAGCATATGTACCTTTCTAAGGCGGAAATCACTTAGCATAGCAAACATAAGATCTCACCAGTGAACTCAGTGAGGCTGATTAAGTAAACATAGTTTTGGGCTACACATTTAGCACTTGGAATTAAAATTCAAAAAGACTTGGAAGAGCTCATTATGAAAGTAAAAATAAAAAGTGAGACATCCAAATTAATGTTAGATATTAAGAAGACAAAGAGCATCGACATGAAGATTTTTTGGTTTTTTGAACTCAATAATAAGGATGAACTGTATGCTGGAGAACTGATGAGTAGATTGATTAAGAAGGAATGCGGTAACAAACTTATACAAAATCATGAAAGAGAAAGATACATCAACGTCAACAAAGTTCAGAATACTTAAAGCAATGGTAATTGCAGTGGTAATGGACAGCTGTGAAAATGGACACTAAGAGACAGTGAGAAGATAGATGACTTTGAATTATGGATTTAGGGTTATTAAGCATACCATGACTTGCTGGAAGAACAAGTGAATCAGTCCAAGCCCAAATAAAATCTGATTGCTCACCTGAGACAATGATTAGCAAGCAAAAACATGCATACTTTAGGCATATGGTACAAGTAGATGATGGAACAGAAAAAAAAATGCTTGGCAAGGTTGAAGGAAGTATACGAACTGGAAGACAAAAGATATGGTAGGTGGATACAATCAATTAGTAAATTACTAGAATATCTTTGGAAGCATTTCTATTTAGTATCTAAGACAGGTCAAGATGACAAGTATTGTAGGGATACTGTAGGCATTTAGTGCCATTTTGGATCATTTCATCCAATGCTTTGTGGAGGGATGCAACCATCTTCCCATTATTCTGGGAAAGGAAATTAATTAGTTCAGTAGTCTTAATGGTAACATGGTGCCTAGAGATACCTGTCATGGTGCCCATCAGGCTCCCTGCTGCTTCTGTTTAATTTTTAAGACATTATTATTTTTTTTTAAAGGGGAACTGATTTGCTACAAAGCAAACCTCTATAGGCTCCAAAGACATTCTTAGAACATAAAAAATGTTTGGACGTGTGCACACCTCTCCAGAAACAATGCAAAATTAAGCTGGAGTATGCAGCATTCTGTGGACAGAAGCTAGAGAAGGCAATTGGAAGAAACTTGCCAGTCTGTCTTTTAGTAATAGTGTGTTTTGTAATTGAGCAGGATCATATGGCATCCATTTTAGGAACATTTAAGTCCACTCCCCATGCCAGCTATTTCATAAAAGCATCCATAACATATTCCCAAAATTCCGAATGCATCCACTTTTCCAAAAAGATTGCCTACCTCTGACCTGTGTGTTTAGATTTGAACACAAAATAATTTCAACTTAATTATGAGAAATATACAGCCAAACTGTCCACTAACTCTAATATTTTAATATCTTTACTTTGAAATCCCTTGGAATTGGCACTAGATTCCTGTAATTTTGGAGCCCCAAATTAAAGGGGGCCAAATTATGTTCTTTGTAATGAAGCTGGCATAGCTTAAATGAAGGAAATACTCTCAGTCTATTAAGTGTTGTTAGATCTGAGTTTGCCTTTTTTCTTTTAAAAGTTGCAACACTTTGATTCTGTAAACTAGTTTAATAACGTTACTGTATTGAAACTCTGAACTGCTTAATGGGATATCTATGACCTAAAGTAAGTCAAAAGTCTCAATTGCCCAGGCCTATCAACCACATAGTGCCTATTTAAAAAGAGGCTTACATTCATGTAATCCAGTAAACCCAAGTGGTACCTTTATGGGAGTTGAAACCTTTAATTGCAATTTTAGAATTACACCCACGAATCATGTCTTGTCTTCTCCAATTTGACTCCACTGACCTAATAATATCATCTACAATATGTATATATTCTTAAACTGAATTCCTCATGAAGTCTACTACCCTAATATCTTTTTCTTACTCATAAACTGTGTTCCTTCTAGTCATCCTCATCACTGTGTCCCTTCCAGCCCTCCACACTACTGCCTATTAACAAGGGCTCTGGAATTCTGTCCTAAAATTCCTGAGGTCTGCAAGAACTAAACTCAAAGTCTTTGATAAAATTCAAATTCTGCAATTGATTAGACTAATATTAGATCAATTTACATTATGTACTTATGGTTTCATAAATTATCCTTCAGAAAATCTTTACGGTTCATACAATTTACATAGATGAACAAGTAGTGAAAAGAAACTTGTTAAAGGTTCTTGGCACCTCAAACAACTTTTTTATTGCAGACGTACAGATTTCCAGAGTCTCTGCTAATGGGATAATAATATGGTTTTTGTCTCTCTCAACTCATCATTTTACTACATTGCTATTTCTTGCTAACTGAAGTTCTATAAAAACGAAAATTCCCACTTAAATTGCTAAATGCTTTTCAGAAGAAAGCATTATCACCTGATAACCAGCAATTCCAATAATTGTCTGGGCAAACATGCTCTCAATGTCTTTAGCAGGCATCCCAGTCCTGTTTGTGTATATTTCTGAGTCAGGGTCTCCTTTGGCTGAAAATCAGAAAATTTCATTAACTTAAAAGTTATGGATAATGATAAATCCATCTGCCAATGATTTATTATATTTAACAGCTGACTTTTTTTACTCTTAACATTATAGCTTTTCCAGTGGTTAGTTACCTTCTCTAACAAAAAATAAAAGTACCTTTTTCCAGTTTACATTTTATCTAGCTTCAACTTACACCACTGGAACATTATATTTTTCTATCTGCCAGAGATTTTACTTCATATATTACCATAATTTCTTTGGACATTAGGTAGTATTTTAATTGCATGAGCTACAAGTTTGCATAATAAGCATGAGGTGTCTTTTCTCAATATAATTGAAGGACTTCTTCTTAGTTAACAATGTTGTCACTGTCAGCTAATTGATAATTGGGCCAACTCCATCATAAAGGTACCCAAGACCCTTTCTCTCCAGTCCTACTTTTCCCCATCTGCTAATTAAGCTTGTTACAGATCTCCAGAGCCTTCTTGTAGACCTGAGTGACATCATCCATGTCTGTAAGAAGAGAAAAACTATCACTTGTCCGATTTCGGTAACGTTTCAGGTACTGTGGTCGTGAGCGGTTTTTTTGGAGTCCTTGGAAATCTTGGATCTGGAGGAAGTTTTCAGCTGACACACAGCTTCTTATTCTAAGTTTGTTCTCTTGCAAGTCCACCAAGTCAAAAGAGTCACTGGAAAGAATGCTATCATCGCTAATCACACTAGAAGGGCGACTGTAACTTCGAGATAATCCATCAACAGACAAACCTGCTTCCTCCATGCCTTCCAGCACTGGTCTATCAGAGCGGATTAAAGCTGAATGTGCAGTAGTGGTGGAATATTTGCTACTGTGTTTTAAAATACCCTTCCGTCTGTAGGAATGACTATGAGACTCTATCCTTAACGTTTCAATGATGTTTGGGGATGTGTCACTGTTTCCTGCCTCCTCATTATGGTCCAGGAGTTCTGAAGATTCACTTCGTTCTGGAGATGAGTAGTAGCCAGATTCTCTTTGCTGAGTCTTCTTGAGGATACCCTTTTTTGGCATTAAGGAAGACTGCTTAGTGCTGTATTTACCCGTTATATCCCCCTCCAAAACACTCTTAATGGATATACCTGTTCTACATAATTCTTGTTCTTTTTTAAAAGTGGAAGGCAATACTGGATTGACTACTCCTTCTATAAATCCTGCACTGTGAGATCGATGTTCACTATTGCTCCTCTTCTTCAAAATACCTTTTGGCCTCTTGGAATTTAATTTGCATGAGTTGTCAACTCCTTCTTGGATAGACTGTGCAATGTCATTTTCCTTCTTTGATTTTTTTAGGGATCTCTGTCTCTCTAAATGGACTTCAGATCCTTTTGGTTTAGAAAGGCACTTCATTTTGGTATCAGTCTCAGGCTGGAGCCCACTGGAACGATGATGCCAGTCTATGAATCTAGACAGCAGAGGGGACTCAGAGTCTTGCAAGGCATCACAATCACAAACAGTACTCTTATAGCCCCAGTTAACCCACCAGTGGTTGGCTATGTCTTCAATAGTTGCTCTGCGCTCGGGATTCACCATCAGCATCCACCTGATCAGACCACGAGCATCTATTAACAAATAATATACATTAAATACATTTGATCTTAAGATTTTACTTTAATTCAAAATCTAAAATCTAATGTAAAAGTTGCAAATTACACCAAAATTATGCAAGATGATATTTCAGCCTGGAAGGAAAGGGCAGGTAGGTAGATAGGTAGGTAGATTGACTGATTGTACCAGTAATCTACCCCTAGGAAATTGGTCAAACTGACACTAAAATACCTTTCCATATCATGGAAATTGTATATACAGAATACTTAATTACATTCATCTGTTTTTTTCCAAGGTTGCTGAATCAATACTGTAAATGGGAGCTCACATGAACAAACGCAGATTCATAAAATGTATCAATCTTTGCATGTAGATTTTAGGGATAAAGGCAAATGACAGTCCATTTCTCAATATATATCTGTAGGAACATTTCATCATGTAAGTATCTATCAGTAGTGTTAAGTGTTATAAGAGGATTTCCCTGAACAATTTCACAATCTTGAATTTAGTCTGCTTCTTAAAGGGAAACAACCTGATTTGCACTCTGGAGACTAATATGTGAACTTTCATATTTCGGTAAAATGTAGAGTTTGTAATAGAATTGTTCAAAAATGTATAAAAATCAAAACATATATATTTGTTGAATGTATATTTAGAGACTGACTGCATATAGGAATGTACATTTTTTGTGTATAAGAGAGAAAGCCCATGTATTTTTTCTAATAGACTGATGGATGAATGCAAATAACTTGAAACACAACTAGACTAATTCTTCTATCCTTTACACACAAGTTTACCACCTCTGTGACAACAAGGTTAAAATATATGGTAGATCCTTGGCATTCCCATGTCAAGAATGAAGGAGGATGTTTCCTATGAAGTAAATGTTTCCTCTTGTTTAATGGCCAGGCAGATCGAAACTTTCCCCATCTTCCTGTTGTTTTCTTTAGACAAATGAAAATTTGCCTTGAATTTTCAATGGTTTGTCTTAAAGTTTCCAGCCAGCTACCCTTAATCTCTTCAAATTCAAAAGGCAAATGTGTCATACTATTAAAGGTGTAACTGATAAAACATACAAACTGTGTAAACTTTATTTTATCTGTATATAACTCATATGATTAACAGATAAATAGAACTTGCTGAAGTATCATTAAAAATTTGAAATTTTAAAAAGAGAAAAACAAAGATTCTGAAATATTCATATATATTCCAATGCTTTATGGGTATTTTTTCCAAAAAGTGGTGGGAGTAAAAGGAGAGAAAAACCAGACATCTGTTTCAAAGCATTCAAACAGCTAAATCTGAAGACAAGAAATGTGACCATATCAGAGATTTTAAAAATATAGATAAGCCACATAATAGAGTAAAATTCTTTGCAGGTCAGTGAAAAGCGAAATAGTGCATTAATTTTTCAGCCTGGTTTTTTGAAAAAAATTGCTGTCATCAACTCCCTTCTATATATTTAATAAGCTATGGAATAATTGTTGATATCAACATAGGACTAAATTCTTAGGCCAATGATTTGCTCTCCAAAGTCTATTAATTTTTCTTGGTTTTTTTATATAAACTGCACAGTTGTAACAGGTGAAATGAATCTCTATCAGGTAACACTTTATAGCTTCCTTGCAAAGACTAAGAGACTTTCAACCATCACTGATCTAGCTAAAGCAAATTTGAACAGTCATTGTCACTCAGGTTAGCTATGGCACATAAGGAAAAAAAAAAACCCTAGATATCTCTTGGTCAACATTTAGGACATTAGAGGTTATGATCAGCAGCAACATTTCAGTCTGTCAACAAGGACAAGCTCAAATGCTAAAGTCCATGGCAATAAATACCTGGCAGCCAACATATCAAGAGGGAAGCTGTAATACAGCTCAATCTATCCTCAAGACTGCCTATTATAGGAACTCTGCATTACAGAAATAAAGGACTGAATAATGATTGGCAAGTAAGTATCAAATCTAAGATTAGAAATTTATTTTCAAGTCAAGGCAGCAGGATAGCTCCTGGACATTGTTATAACCTAGGTACCCCAAGTCTGTTAAAAAGTAATTAAAATTTGCCTGTGATGACTAGAGTCCAATTTTCCAATGCTAGCCATTCACTGTTTCATCAGTCTTGTCCAGATTCAGTTTGTCTCCATTCAGTAACTATATTCAGATATTGCAACTTTATTATCTGAACCAGATAAATTTTTTTTAATACATTTTAAAAATGAGGTCTAATATGTATCTGTTTGAACCAAGTTGGCATAATGCTAGCTCAGACCCACAAATACCACAGAACAGGCAAACTGCTTTTTGGTGAATAATTTTCAATAGAAGATTTAGGTTCCCTGGTGAAATCCTGGCTGCTTTATATGGGCTTCCATTCTTATTCTGAGTGAAAGCTGATTGAGAAGGAATCACAAAACATGAAGTCCTTATGGTACCCAAATAATGAGGGAAAATTAAATATCAAAGAGAATCTTAAAATTATATCAAATACTTAGTTGGTTTGTAAATGGTTATATGTTTATTTCTGTAGCTGCCCTTCAAAATGACTAAGCCAATGTATAAATAAAACAAGAAAACAAATATAAAATATAGTAAAACTACAAAAATTCTATCCAACAAACAGGACAGAAACCCAAATCCTCCTGACCCAGTGTTTGCGGGAAAGCCAGGTTATCTATGATCATGGTCTTGGTACTTTTATTCCTTGAAGAACTAAGATTCTGCATCTAGTAGGCTTGCAGCTCTGCCTAACTAGTGGTACTTGTAACCCTCTAAAATCCACCCATTTCCTTTTACTGTTCCAAAGAGCTTATCTCTTCCTGCTGAGAAAGACTGTGGGCATATACACTGCCAAGATTTATATTCAGAAACTTGGATGAATTGGAAGTACGGGCTTGAGAAATAATTATGGCTTCTAATCTCCTTAGTCTCCTCCTTGCCCCTGAAGGGCAGCTGACAATACTTTCCAACTATTATACATCAGATACTTGTTGCCTTAGAGAGATCTTCCCAGGACTTCTCACAATAACCTTTTGAAAATCAAAAGCAGCGAAATAGTTTTTGATGCAAATTGAGAACCATTAGTTTTGTATTGTAGTATTTCTGTTTCATCCATCCAACTCTTTCATATACCAAACATCAGAAAGAAAAACAAGCTATTATAAACCCCTATTATTTCAATGTACTATGACACATCTTTTGATACCTGAGGGCTGTGTTGGCTCACGATATTCTCCACTACTGATCTGCCTGATCAGATTTTTGTGATCAAAGCCATCAAAGGGCATTGTTCCATAAACCAGAGTATAAAGTAATACACCAAGAGCCCAACTGTCAACCTAAAGTAGAAAGATAAGAAACATAAGGAGTAAAAAACGTGACTCCTGAAGTCTCTGAAACTGCTAAAGGAACAAAACATCCATCTACCATTATTAAAGAACATATAAACATTCTGTAGAAAATCCAGCGATCCATGAAAAAATGAAAACAAGAATTTTAAGCATCTTGTATAGCAAAGATTATTGCTTTTTTTATTATTAAGAGAATAATTTAACCAAATTCCATACATACACAATATTTGCACCAGTTATATAAATTGAATAAATCAATAATTAAATTTATAAATATTTTTCATTCCATTTTTTAAACATTCCTTTCTTTTCAGTTCTGTTTACCTCTGGTCCTCGGTAAGGCCTTCCATTAACAATTTCAGGAGATGCATACAGTGGACTTCCACAGAAAGTCTGGAGAAATTTATCTTTCTGATAAAGATTTGAAAGCCCAAAGTCTGCAATCTGTAAAGGCAAATTCAGTAAATGTAGTTAGGGAATATATGCCTTAGGAAGCAGTTGGCTGATGAATAATATTTAACATTAATAAAAGCTTTCTTCCATTCTGTTCCTTTCTTAGTTTCAGAATAGTAGCATGAGGAGTTTATAACAGCTGTTACGTGTCTTTTAATACTGGTTTTGAGTTATATAAAGCAGTCTTCTGTATTAGTAAAACTTCAAAGACAGAAGACATTTTATTCTATGTGCTTTTCATGGACAACTCAAATGCACAGGTATACTGTGAACAAAATAAATACTGGAACCATACAGCACATATTCATTTCACTAAGACTATTTTTATGCAAAATTTTATGTTTGCATATACACTCATACTGCTAATTGGGTGAGCATAGGAGGACAAAGGCTGCAAAACATTCATGAACAATATTCTGAAAAATTGAGATATAAAAACTTAGAATGAAAATGGGTTTCTAATGTTTAGGGTCTTTCTTGGAGTGAGGCAATTTGGAAGTCTAAAATTTAAAATTATTTGTTGATCCAAATATGCTTAGAGATGAGAAACCTGAGAAGCTTCCCCAAAATTATAACTAAATAAATTTTGGATGAATTACAAAGTTGTTTGCACATATCTTATTTTGGCAATCTTTTTCTTCTTTATCCATTTCCATTCACATCAAATTGCAATTTAATAAATAATTTAATAACAATTTTTAACAATTTTGATACATTACTTAGTAACAAGTTTGATTAATGTTTCCCTTATACAATAATTAAAGTTTGCTATTAACTATAATTAATTATAATATTTTCCCATATATTCCCTTTTCTTTCATTATCCAGTAGAACTATTACATTTAGATGTCTCAGAGCAGTGTTCCTCAACCTTGACCACTTGGAGATGTGCGGACTTCAACTTCCAGAATTCCCCAGCCAGCTGGGGGAATTCCCCATGCTGGCTGGGGAATTCTGGAGTTGAAGTCCACACATCTTCAAGTGGCCAAGGCTGAGGAACCCTGTCTTAGAGAACAATAAAGCCACATGTCTTTAGATATACCACTGAGATATATCAGGGACCACCTTATCAAGCATGATTTTGCCCATGTAGCCCGGTCATTTAGAAAAGCTGTTAAGAAGCCCATTCCTTTGTGAAATCTATGAGGCAAGGACAAGACCACAGGCTTTTTCAATAACACCGTGAAACTCATGCCCCCAGAAATATAAATAGCTCTGATTCTCCTGGCATTCACAAATGCCATGAAGAGGGATTTATTCCAACACACCATTGGTTCATAGAATGGCTACTGGGTGATCTTTATTTTATGCTGTTGATACTGTTTTTTCCTCTGGGTTGCTTTGTTGAACATTGCCCAAAGTCCTTGATGAGGTATAACGTAAATAATTAAATCAATCAAATCATTAAAAGCCAATGTGATTTAAGCCAGTTTATGTGATATCAATACTGGATGGAAAAAAGTCAAAAGTTCGGCTTAAAACTTAAAGCTTTACTATAGTGTTAAAGGTTGCATTTGGCCTTTGATGTTGCTGAGGATCATAGCTTCCCACTCAAAAGGGAGATTCAAGGACAACAACTAAATCTGATTTAATTTAACCAAATATAAATGTAGGTAAAATAAAATTTAGTTAAACAGTTAATACTATTATTTCCCATAACAACATCTTAGAAAATCCAGTTCACACTCATCTTTTAGCGGGACTTTGAGGGTCCCACCCAAGACTTCAGAAGGCTGCATAAAGCCTAGGGACTCAGACAGTATACCTCTTCTGTAGCAGTAGCCTATAAACAGGGGGCCAAAATACATGGAACCAGAGTTCATGAAGAGAATGATTCTAAGAGACTTGAAAGTGGCATGGAACAGTCAGTTTACCCACTGCAGAAGTGGCATGCTGTAAAACTGTAAATCTATAAGAGTTATTTTCACAGAAATTTGACTGTAAACTGTGAAAGCCTTACCATAGTAGCATATAAGAAATCTTGCTTCCCTGCCCTCATCTTCTAAAATAGAGCTCCAGCTTCTTTGGAAGCAACTTAATAATTTAATTCAGTAGCAAATAAGGGGGCTCATGGATTGCCACCCAAACAGAGGATGGATCCCGTTGCTCACCCCCTATGTTTTAGATTTTGACTATGGAGCAAAAGTAGTGTTTAGATGTAGCAATCTCTGTTCGCTATAGAGCAGGGTTTTTCAACCTTGGCAAGTTTAAGATGTGTGGATTTCAACTCCCAGAATTCCCCAGCCAGCATGCAATCCTGGGAGTTGAAGTCCACATGTCTTAAACTTGCCAAGGTTGAGAAACACTGCTATAGAGAAAAAAGCATAACTAGGGGAAGAGATTATTTCAATTTCATAACGCCTGTATCTTGTAAGCTAATGAAATACAAACACTATTTACTTCACAATGGCATATACATTTACTGGGGATGTTTCTACAATTCTCCACTCTAACTTATCAAACTAGATAGGAATCTCAAAGCATGTTGCCTTCTCCGCAGCATTTGAATTGACTGGCTCATTTGTCCAAGCAACCTATTGTTTTATTAAATTGTTCCCTGAATTTAACATGCATTCCTGGCAAGGGATAATGACTCAGTATCTACTTCCTGAATAGTATAATGAGAGTGTACTAAACTAATCTAGAGAATGATTGGATGTGGTGGAAAGTCCTGCTCTGAAGTAAGAAAACTGCATAGATGGGCTGTAGGACCTTTTCCAGGCTGCACTTTTTGATATTTCGTTACCCTGAACAAGACTGTAGCCATGTTGGTGAACAGGACTATCATTTATATGCTACTATATGCTATATATATGCTATATTTATTTATTTATATTTATTTATTTGTATTTATATGCTATATTTATATGCTAGATGCTACATATATGCTACTCTATCTCTTCTGCTATTTGTAATTGCTGCTTATGTATATCATTGCTCCTAATGCTGAACTACAGTCTATGGAATTTCATCTTTAAGTTAACTCGCAATATAATGTTAAAATAAAGTCAATATCTCAATTTATGTTCCAGAGTTTTGAAATTAGATGTAGGAAGGAAATCCTAGGGGAAAAGTCCCTATAAAGCCTTCACTTTATGTCTCAAATCCCATTGGAAGCAGCTGGTGTAGAACTTCAGTCTGCAAATGTATTTTCAAAGTTCAGATTGCAATTAATTGCCTCTTATCAAGTTACTCTGAGTAGTCTGCTGGAAATCCATCTTGAGCTAATGATCACCGCTCTGTGAATCAAAATTTATTTTTTTCCCCCAAAATTAGAGCTTGCTGCTAATCAGTAGAATTCCTTTATTCAGAGAAGCTGTAGAGCAGATTTTTCTGACATTCATTGTATAGCTTATTAAGACAATCTGTGCTCTTATCATCCTACAATCTACAAAACACATGGATACTGGCATGCAAATGTGTGTTAAAGTTTAGATCCCTAACTGGCTCGAAAGCGTTTTCATTTTTGACCTTCAGGAAAAAGTATTTCTATTTCAGCCAACTCCTATAATCACAAATTTATCAGATTTTCTAGTTAAGACTGTCATTTCCCTTCCCCCACTATGGAGAAAAAAATAATAGTAGCCAAGATTCCTTCAAGTTCCTGTCACTTAAACGGAGCCAAAGAATTCAAATGTTTCCCAAACAGGGAGGGGTTGCTAAAAAACCAGATGTTGTATTCTCTTACCCTCAAGGAAATGACTGTTTCCACTACCTATATTAAATGTGATGAAATTTACTCACTGAATATGATGTTTGTATCCCCTCCAATATTTGAGCTTAGTGTAATCTGAATAAACTCAAAATTGGAGGGAGCACAAGCTTCAGACTCAATGAGTAAATTTCATTGTATTTAATATAGGTAGTGGAAACAATCATTTTCTAAGAGAACAATTTCAGAGTATACTAAATTCTAATATTGAGAGAACACTAGCTTTATACTTGGTGAGTAAATTGCTCAGCAAGGAGAACTGAAACAAATGCTATTAAGAAAACAACTTATAAAAAGCAAGCCCTAAACACTGTGAAAAATGTAAGACTACAGGTGTAGATGTATACATATAGAAATGTCAAAATAGGGCTGCATTTGTGCCTGACAATTGGAAAAATACTAATATTGTTCCACTATATAAATGGAACAGTAGCAAAAATGAATCCAAAAATGAAAGGGACATTAGTTTGTTGTCTTGAAAGGTGCTTTGCAACTGAAAGGGTACAAAAGCAACATTTGGCTGTATGTTGGGCAGAGGATGTGCAGATCAGATTTTTGCTCTTGAGAAATGTATGGATGTGGGAAGGAAAGTTTATTATACATCTGATTTAGAAAAGCCACATAATAAAGTGAATAGGCTTGGATTATGGAATATTTCATACAAGTTAGAGTTGAAGACTGATGGCTGAATGTGGTAAGAGCAGGATAAGATGAAAATAAAGCATGCATGAAAATAAACAGAATGTTTAGTGAATGGATTCAACACAGAACAGGGAATAAAACAAAGATGTATTATGGCCCTTTGGTTGTTTAATATAATATTAGGAATGTTTGTGATGATGGTGGAGTAGTATTAGCTGGGGATATGAATGTTCATGTACTTTTGTATGCAGATGAAGGCTTAGAACCTGAATGATGTACAGTGAATCTTAGAGTGCATAATGCAATGAGATGTATGGATCTGAAATGAATGTATCAAAGATCAAGGTAGTTGGGTTTGACAGGGAAAACTGAGTGAATAATTGCAAGTTATAGATCAATGGCAAAAAAAACTAGTGCTAGCAGATGAATTTGTGTACTTCCAGTTTTATAAAGATGGGGAAATGGATGGAGAAATGTTAAGATAGTAGAAAACTACTGCTCTCTTTGTTACATGGAAGTGAGAGCTGGCTATGTCAGGAACAACATAAAAGTAAATTGAGTGCAAGTGTGAATGGTAAAATAAGAGAGGGTCTAGAATGATTGGGGGCTGAATGAATGTAGATTGAGTAAGTCACCAGTACGAAATAAGTATGTTGACATGGTTGGTCATACTGGAAAAATGAATGAGGATGGAAACACAAAATAAGTATATGAAGGAAAGGTGAACGGGTTAAGAGGACAGAGAAGACTCAGAAAGTCATGGTTGGATGAAGTTGATGAAATCTCAGAAAGAGGTGAGAATTTCAAAGCACAAAAGGCAGCATATGAAGCCACGTATGAACATAGTGGAAGCAAAGTTGGCTTGCAGGGAGAGAACGTTATGGAGACATCTACTGAATGGTATTGGTATAAAATGTAGCTATAGTTTCTTTTCATTTCTTATGCCTCTAATTTCTTTGATTTACTATTTCTTACTCCCTTTTTGTCTTATGCATATCGTTGTTTGCTTGACCCCTAGCCCTAGTGTATCATCAACTCTACTGAATTCTTTTCAGATTGTTTTATTTATCTGTATCCATGTACCATTTTCCAATATCTGTCATTATTTTTCAATTATAGGTGCAGAAGCCTGTCTGTCCAATTTAAATAAGGAAGAGGTAGAAATGTTCAAGAAAGTGATGGTATTCTATTCATGCCACAACACAACTTTAATATTAATGATATAATAATAATAGCATTGAAAGCAAAAAATATCAGTCTAGCAAGTTAAATTGACAGGTTACACCCATTTGAAAATTTCTAATATACACCATTTTGAAAATTATTGGATGAAAAATTACTTCCATCTATTTAAATTAATAGAATTAGAAATGCAAAACAATTCTATTCTTAGTCTTCTAGAAATATACATTTACTAATACAGACATGAAATTTTCCAGATTTACTCAACTGTACACATCAATGATTTATAATCCCAGATGTGTTTCCTGTCCATGTAATTAATGAAGAAAGCAAAATAACAAAAAAGCAAAAACAAGTTCTAATCCTACAATCTCAATGCTGGTATGGTAACATAGTTCCATCTGAAAAACTTCAATTACTAGCATAGTTAACTATGATGCGAGTAAGCACTGTTCAATTCTAACTTCTCACAAAGTTCATTAATACAGCCCTAAGGACACTTGTTCCTACATGTACCCATTCCCAAGACTATTATTTCCTGCTCCCTTGAAGTAGCACGTTCAGTATTCAGGTAAGTATAAACATATTAATTCATATATAGCAGAAGCAAAGTTACATACAGCTTCCTATTGTGTTTATTGAAAAGAAATTATATAGTAATTGGAACAGAATTTGAGATCGTTTTTCAGTACTCACCACTTACACTAAAATTAAATAAGAAATTAAAGCAAAAAACCAGGAAACATATAATGAAATATTGTTCCATAAATGAAAACTATTACCTGAGTTGAAAGCTACAATTCAAAGTAAGAATATATGAAACTATACTGAATTGAATCTTTTTGATAATAAATTTCATGTAATATGTTTAAGTTGGTACAGTAGTACTTTATTAACATTACCCTAATGACTGAACTGCAAAAGGTAGGGTACTCTGCCTTCTCTGTAGCAGTGCCTGCCCTCTGGAATGAGCCTCTCCCCAAGAGCCAGATGGCCCCCACTCTGCTGTTCAGAAGAGCCATGAAGACCTGGCTCTTCATCCAGGCTCTTTCCAAGGGAGAGGGAGACCCCTTGCTTCATTCCATCTGGTCTGTCATGCTTGCCACCTTTTATCTTTTATTGATTTTATTGTAATTTCTTTGTTTGATTGTTGTGAGCTGTATAGAGTCATTGGGAGTCAGGCTGCATACAAGTTTAATAAATTATTATTACGGTTGGTGGCACAGTCAGCCAGACTGGATTTGGCATTTTTATCCACCTAACGAATCCTTCCCAAGGACCTGGGATAGGCAGATGTTGTTGTTTGATAGTGTCAAAGGTATTGTCACAGGATATAAGCTGTTCCAAGTAAAGCTGCCTCCTATTATTATTATTATTATTATTATTATTATTATTATTATTTGGCAGCAAATAATTAAAGTCTGTAATTTTTTGCCATCTTCTAGGGGTTGTCTGGATTTTTGCAGCTTTAGTTTAATTAGCAAGATTTAACCTGAACTGGCCTTTGAACTCTTTTTTTAGCTACCCAAAAACCTGTCCATACTTGCTTTCTCTTTCACTGGGAAAGAGTTTATGGCTGACTAGTTATTTCACATACCTAGTTCAGATATTTGGGCCATTAGGAAGAAGCTATGCAAAATTTCATTCTTTCCTCTTGAAGTTCATGTTAGGAAAAAGACATAATGGGATATAATGGGAAGGGGTAAGCGAAGAGGCTACAAGGGAGATGCCACATCACCTGATATAACAGCAGGTGACTCCTTGCCTAGCAAACATTTGCCCACTTTCAGACTGGGGTGGAGAGAGACAGAGAAAAACAGGAAAACAAGTTCAATGTTTCAATGCTAAGATCCCTCAAATGTTCCCACATCTTATAAACTGCAATAGAAAAAGAGACAGAAGCAGAAGGATGATAATTCCCATCCTGAATTTCTTGCAGGGAAGCAATAAGCAAGGTCAGATCCCACAAAGGGTATCTTGGAAGAGGGCTAAATCCAATTCCCATAATTAGGCTAGAAAGATTGTTGCCAGAAGGGTCCTGGTTTTGGCCAAATTATTTTGGGGAATCATGGTTTATGTAGCAAAATACAAACCTCACTCCAAACATCAAGGGGGAAAAAATCTAGGCAATAGTGCAAAAAACAAACACTGAGCACATTGTCAAGGTTGGAAGTTTTACTTTAGCATAGCATTATCAGCTATATTACCATGACTTAAAAAGAGCACCTGCTTATATTATGTTAAAATTACACTTTAATAAGATTTTGTATGTTGTATGATTTTTCCCCCCAAAGGGGTAGCCATGATAGTATTTTGCAGAAAAAAACAATGAACTCCTAAGTATCTTAAAATATATATAAATGTATATTATATACATTTCTGTGGGATCCCAGTCCATTTTGCCAGATTCATGGAGTATAATTCTGAAAAAGAAATGTTTTATATATATACATAGAGCTGTCTGGGGGGAGCAAAGAATCAGAGAGATGGGAAGAAATATAAAAGGAGAGATGAGACAGTGAGAATTACAGTGACCCTGAAGCAGTAGTTAGATGTGACAGAGGCCTTCATGTATTGAAGATAGGAAACACTGGTCTTTCTTTAACTTACAAAAATGTTAGAGCTTTAAATGAATTCGAGTTCAGCTGTTTCATGAAGAATGGAATCTGTATAATACATTGCTTCATTGTGCTATGCTTTGTTCATGCTAACACAAGTACAAAAATCAAATTCTAGGCAGTGCTCTCTGTGTCAAACTACAAAGATGCCAAAATGTTGGTGTGTGTAGTAATATAATCATGCAAAGGCCACCATTTTGTGCTTGAGTTCCAAATTCTGATGCAACCACATAGGTTGCCACATTCAGATGATGACATCAGGCACATTTCATAATTTGCCCACCCACTCTCCTGAGGACACCCATGTCCTAAGGCGGATTCCAATGCTACTTCTGCCAGATAGATAAATCTAATAAATAAATAAAATAAACTAACTGGGCAACACTAATATCACCCAGAACGTCAAGGGAATTTCATGGGAAGAGCCATACCATTACTTATAGTTCAATACAATATATGCAATCAGTATCCATATACACTTTATACTGGATCAGATGGAGACTAGTAGCACCTTTTTCAAACTACAAAATTTTATTAAAAGACATAAGCTTCCATGAACTACAGCTCACTTTATCAGGTGCAGCTTCTGTTCTTCTCCTGCACACTTTACATTGGATCAATCCCTATGCAAAAGAATAAATGCACCCAAATCTGACATCCCAAATGGCAGCTTTGCAATGCAGAAGTATGTCAGTTTCCCCAGACATCTATCTCTAACTTCAAGTTGTAAATACTTAGAAAATCAATGTGTGATATATATGTAATAACAAATTTCTTGGTCTTTCAGGAACCACTAGAACCCTTGTTGTATGGAAAGAGTCATTACTAAGAGTGTTTCATAAATATGGACCAATGCCACCCATTAAGTATTACATATACATGAGGAAAAATCGATTTGTTTACATTCAAAGTAGCACTAATGGGGTTCTCAGATGGTATTCCAATTCTAGTTATTGACCAGACTGGGATCTGGTTTTTGTCAGCCTGGTTGCAGGGTGCTTTCATGCTATACTGTAGGGAACCCTAAAGTATAGCATGATCCAATATAAGAAAAACCTTTATTATATAATTAGGCATACTTGGGATTTTAAATAATGGAATGTGAATTTTGGAAGCAGCATTAGTTTCCCAGAAAAGCATCACGTAGCTTGTATCTTAGCTATCCCATTTTTCCAGGAAGAATGAAAAGGTCATTCCCATGCTTTTACTAAGGATTTTTGACATAGTTATGACATCACCAAAAACTAATCTGAAAGCTATCATTGTGCCTAGAGTTCTAAGGCCGTTTCCTAATGAAGGACATGTGCTCCGCTTGAGTTTATTTTGAAAGTGGATTTGCTTATTTTTCAGATGCAATCAAAGGAATGTTCAGAGGGCTCTGAAATAAGCACTTGAAACTTGTAAGCCAAGAACTTGTGCATAGTTCCAGCAACCAGCAAAAATACCATCTGTAAAATACATTATCTTGTGAAGAGGTTCTCCTGATCCTTGTGTTGATTGCTGTTATTCCTTTTTTTTTTTTAAAGGGGGAAAAACTATTTCTTTAGCTTTAAATAAAAATTAAATAAAATAAAAGTCTAACTCGTTTTTAAATCATCACATCTCTATATTCTTTAGACAGACACTGCATAGGTTTAACAGTAGGAACTTTGATAAAAATGTTTAAGGCAATATACAGAGAATAGGAAGGATCCTTACCTTGATGTTACAACTGTCATCAAGAAGAATATTTTCCAGTTTTAGATCCCTGTGAACGACACCATTCTGAAACAAGAAATAAAGAAAACATGCAGATGAATAGAAAGGAGATTCTGTGAGGGGGGTTTAATATTGGCTGGATTAAAGAAGCAAACCATCAGGGTGGTCTTTGCATTTACACTTCAGTCATAACACTAGTAACTAGTGACAGGAGATGTATTAGTCGCTTGCTATGTGGTTAGGAGAAGAATGACTGGAATCTGTCCTCCCACAAAGCCTGTAAAACAGCAGGGGAACTCTTCGGAACTTAATTCCAACCCCAATCTGTCCCTCACTATGTAAAAGGAATATATTCTTCCCAGGCACTAGAAAACAGCCCTTAGGCATGATGACTTATATCCCTCAAAGGTGCTTAAACATGAGCTGAACTCTAATAACTTAAAATTCATTAACATTAAAATTATAACACTAAAAACCATAGTCTGTGTTTTAAGTGGAAAAACATCCGCTTTTCCCCTTCAAAATGCTTTTTCTATTTTATGAGGCATTTTTAAAAAGCCAAAGTTGGTTTGATATGTAAGGATCACTGAAAAATTAGGGAAAGCACATATTCTCATTTCAGAATGAAAGATGACCATACCTTGTATATATTATATTTCCTTCTGCATAAATTAATCCTCTTGGAAACACTTGGTAACAGTATAACCAGCCTGGAAACAGGATTCTCTTAACATGTCACTATTATGTAAGAATAACTTGCAGGGATTCTTTTGATCTTGTCAACTCTGAAGTTGTGGGCAGGGTTCTTGGCAACATGAGCTCTGTGGGTGGGACCCAGGGTGCATTAAGCTCCTTCAGGAAGCTAGATAGAGTGTATGCATTTGAACTTGAGAGGAGCTGTGCTTCCTGTCTTGAAGATTGTGGTACATCCCCTGCTGAAGAGGCCACTTCTCAATCTAACCATGTTAGATAAATTCTGCACAGTCTCCAATATTCCCTTCTTGGACTGAAGCTAGAAAGAATCCTGAAAATAATCCAGGTTCCTTTCAGTTGGGCTTCAGACCTAGACATGGGATTGGAACTGCATTGGTCACTCCTATGGAAGATCTCCATTAAGACCTGAATAAGAAGAGTACAGTTCTACTGGATCTCTCAGCTGTATTTGATACCATTGGCCATGGTATTCTTTTGGACTTCCAGTACCAGTTGGAAGGGGGCACTGTTTTGCAGGGGTTGGGAGCAACTTAAGTGGGCATTTCCAGTTAGTGGTAATTGGGGGGTGGGGGGGAATGAGCAATCAAACTCTTAGTCAATTCTCTATAGATGGTCACAAAGCTTGGTTCTTTCCCCAAAGTTGTTTAACATTTATATGAAATCACTGTGTGAAGTTACAGGTAGTCTTCACTTACCGACTTCAACTGGGACTGGCAACTCCATCGCTAAGCGACACGGTTATAAGTGAAAATCACCTGACTGCATCCAACTTACAACTTACAACTGCAGTTCCGGCTGCAGTCATGAAGCAAACCACCTGCAGTCATTAAGTGTAGCATCACATGACCACAACTTGCAACTTCCTGCTGGCTTTCCCATTCACTTTGCTTGTCGGAAGCTGGCTGTGGAGGTTGAAAATGGCAATCATGTGATTGTGGGGAGGTTGCTAGGGCCGCAAGTTTGAGGACCAGTTGTAAATCTCCTTTTTCAGTGATTGGTAAGCAAGGACTACTGGTATTGGTTAGTTCAGGGTGAGGTATCGTTGTAATGGACAGGAAAAGCAGTGGAAACAGTTAGGGATTGGATGGAACAAAACAGACTGAAATTGAATCTTAACAAGATGGAGTTGCTATTTTTCCAGAAGCCATCATATCTGAGAGAGAGCCCTACACTGAACTGAAACCTAGTTTTAGTTGCTCTGGCATAATTTCACTTCATAGTCTGAAATCCATTGGGTACAAAAGGAAGTACACACATTATCACCACATACCCTCCAAATATTTTTTACTCACCTTATGACAATAATGAACTGCCGAAACAATTTGCCGGAAGAAGTGTCTTGTCTCCCTTTCATTTAGCCTTCGCCTCTCACTGATGTAATCATACAATTCCCCTTTACTTGCATATTCCATGATGATCACTATTTTATCTTTGTTCTCAAATACTGAGATAAAATAAAACCAAACACTTTTATTTCATTATATTGATGAATTAAATACAAAATACTCACAAAAACTTATATGCAATCAGAGCTAACATCTTCCAATGTAGAGATGCGCAAATCATTCATTTTCAAGTCAAATGCAGTTCCATACATGTTCTTTCTTTCTTAATTTATATTTGCACTTTAGTTGCAGAATTAAGCGCATCTTTAAAATTTAAATACCTTGATTTTTTTCACAAGATAATGCAACTCTAAGCATATCTCCTATCAAAAGAAGTATTTCATTTCAAGTGAAATTTTGTCATAGAATAGATACCTTATAAACACTGTGATACATTTTGAGCCATAAATTGAATTGCAGGATTTAGAACAGTGAAAAACTTATTCCAATCTGCATATTAATCAAGGAGGTATAGATAGCTTTGAAATGCAAATACAAATTTTAAAAATCATTCTTCCATAATGCTTCCCTAGGTTCTTCTACTAACCTCATACAAAAATAATTGCAGCTGCATTTAGTTTTTCTCCCACTTTCATAAATAGAAATAGACATTTTATTTGAAGACCTGTTTTTAAATTAGGAAAGAACAAGCAAAACAAGAGACATATTGTGAATGGAGGGAAGATGTTTAATAAATAATTTTGATCACCGCAGGCTAGCAATTAAGTAATTTATATGGGCTGCAGAATTTTCTTCAGGAATACAGTAAACTATCAATATAATATTTAATACATTTCCTTCCTTGTCTAGTAAAAAATATGAATTTCCCACTTGGAGCACCAATGAGGTCAGGTGGAAACTGAGACTACGGTCTTTTCTCGGTCATGCTGTCATAGTCGAGAAGAATGGATTACTACAAGCACTGGCATGTAATACGAAACCTACACAGTTGGTTGATGCTTTTTGAAGAGGAGTGAACAGGTAAAATGTAAAATAATGTATGCTGTGGATAAACTGTAAGTCACTTATACAAAAATAATTAGAGCAATTTTTCATAAAGGAAGCGCAATATCCAGTGTGCCCAGCTGAACACACATCTGACTATCATAGGAGGCTGCAAATAATAGCATGCTGTAGTGCTTTACATACTCTGCTTGCTTGCCTGTCTTCAAGACCTAGCTTTTCACTATGGAGAAGTATCTGTCTACTCTGTCAAGGAAAATGAGCAGGGGAAAAATTGACAAGATTCTGTCAGCTCTCCCCCCTCCTATTTTTTTTAGGTATGAACAATGTACTAGTCTGCCTCCTTCCTTCCTTCTCTCCCTCCTTCCTTCCTTATTTGGTTCTGGTTGCCACATCTGAAAATGAGTATTATAGAGCTAGAAAAGATGCACAAACGGACAACTAAAATGATTAGGGGCTAGAACAGCCCATCTACAAGGAATGACCATAGCATGTAGAGCCTTTTTTGCTTGGAATGAAAGCAAATAAGGATGTACAGTACATTCTTGCCTGTTATGGAGAACGTGGAAGAGAGAGATTTCCTTTCTCTCACACAATATTAGAACTTAAGGGCGCCTATTCAAATTAAATGTGTGGATATTCAGGGCCAATGAAATCTTTACACTGTAAATAGTTAAACTGTACAGCTTTTGGGTTGCGCACTACGCACCACCTTGCCTCTGAAGATGCCGAGCCACAGCTGCCAGTGAAACGTCAGGAAATGAACTCAACGCTGAAGCTCAATGCTGCCCAACAGATACCAGCCATGAAAGCCCACACCAGTATATTGTGGAGCTTTCACTGTCGGATGTAGTGATGGCCGTATAGGTTATTTTAAAAGATCTGGATAAATTGATGAAAAATTGGGCTATCAGTGGCTATAAATCTTAGAAAGTCTTTCTGCTACCTCCAGAATCATAGGAAGCATATCTTGCATATCAACTGCTAAATGAGCAAGACTGAAGAATGGCTATCATACTCCTTTGATGTGTGTGCAGAACTGTCCTGTACTTATTAAGACAACATTCAAATTCTGTCAATCTTGACTGACAACAGCTTTCCAAGATTTCTGGTAGATCCTTTTCCAGGTCTTGGTACAATAAAATTATCAAATGGTAATTGTTCATAAGTGAACCTGGAGAAACTCTCTAGATAGGTCCACACAAGTCTTTTAGAGAAACACTTCCATCATGTAAACATTGATACCATTACATTTCTGAGATATTAAGTTGTAGTGATCTTCTTGTAACATCATATTTTATAACACTGCTAAATACAAACTTATTTAGCTGTAATATTATTTATTACAAATAAAAATTAAGTAAATATATATTCTTCCCTATTAAAACCTAAACTTTAAGCTTCATATAGTGTTAGTTATACTATAACCAAATTTGGTATAACTATTTGGAATGTTTGGCTCTGTTTTGTTTTGTTTTTCCCTGCATTTGATTTATAATATATCATCATAATGCAGATTATTCTAAATCTGGGACAGCTTCTATATAAATTCTGTGCTGTTGCTACCACCACTTAGTTCATAGAGACAAATTTAATGAGGAATGTCTGCTTGCAGATAGATAGAGAGATATAGATAGATATAGATAGGTATAGATATGAATCAGTGACTATGATGCATAGCAGATTATTCAAAATAGATGTTAGGAATCTCCTCACCAGAAGGGATTCATTTATCCCTTTTTTATAGGATTTTGTAAGGTCAAACAAAAATCTCCTTTATAGGATTATTTTCCTGATATAAGAAAGAATACATAAGCAACAGAGTTTGAATAGGAAGGTATATAATATAATAAGAATGGCCAACCAAGAATCTCCATTTACTATGGCTACATTTCAGTTCTGTCTACAGCTGCCTTTGTAGCAAGCCACCAGAACCTCACCCTAGGCACTGAAGTATTCTCAGCCCCTAAACTGGTCCTATCCACCTAAGATTTCTACAGGGCCCCTAGCCTGGAAAGCCTATAAGGGGGATCCTATTTGGGATGGGATTCTGTTTGAGAAACAATGGATTTCCTGATTATGTGGTATTCTTTGATTCCTGGTTATTCTCTAACAGCTGCCTACATCTCAGCCTTGACAAATCCTGACCATGTTAATCATCTTGTTTCTATGCTCAAATTGTTTTCTATCTTCACCTGCCCCCTTCCACCCAAATCCTTTCCAAAAAGAATGTTCTTTAAATAAGAATCTTGTCATGTAAGTAAATATTTTACTCTAAAATAGAACTTGGCTTTTCTTGATGCAGCACTGGAAGAATGTACAGGCCGAATAAATATTGCCTGTAAATATTTATTTACATGTTCAGATATTATTTAACTGCTATTTTTGCAGCAAACTAAATTTCATTTCATTGCTACAGAAGTCATGTGGGGGGAAATACTGCAGGTAAAGCTCAACGCGTGATATAATACTTTAATAGGATGTGTATGTATGCTTTTTCCAGTTCTGTAAACTGTTCTGAAAGGTCTTTATGCAGTTAGTATAAAGTGTTTATGTTCAAATATTGAATATATTTACTTCCATCCTTAGACTCTAAGAAGGAATTTGTTTATTCTGGTCTCTGTGTCTCTGTGTTATTTTTTAATTCCTTGTTCCTGAACAGCTAATTGAAAACGCATATTTTGACTTTGGATTTTACTAAAACATAAGGAATGTAAAACTGGGAAAGAATTTAATTCTCATTACCAAAAATATGTCTGAGTTGAAGTACATTTTGTAACCCAGTGTTTCTCAGCCCATTATTCTACTATTCATAATAACTCCTGAATGTAATCTGTCTAACTATATTTAGAAAATCTGAAATGATGAGCTCAGCTTCTATTTAGAGCTCTAAACTTTGCAGAAAACCTTGTTAGCACAAAGACTTCCCTCTACATCTGCCTATTCAGAGTTTTGGAATTCTTTGCATCCAGTGAGGCATCATATTCCTCCTTAAAACATACTTGGTCATTAAAAAGAAAACTGAGACTTCATTATTAAGCCAACTTCTTTTTAAAGTGAAAATGGTATATTGGTATATGCACAGTGACGTACCCTAACAAAACTGCATTTGAACAGCTATGGACCACTTTGCTTAATACTTACATGCTTGTTAGATCTTTTATAACTGTTACTTTATAACTAAGATGGGATTTTATTTCTATATTTTGGGATCCTAAAGTTTGACTGAAAACTGCAGATGCTTAATTTTTTTAAAACAGACATCTACCTTGAGAGTTGATTGCTTTTTGTTTACATGTAACCTCAGGATAAGAATTTTAGTTTGTTATTTTAAGAGAGGCAGTCAATCGCCTCACACTGGAACATCTGAATTCTCCTCATGCCTTTGCTCTGTATCAGAACAATCTCCTAAATTAGTTCCAGTGTGTTGACATTCCTTCCATCTGGTGTCTTTCCATAAAGGGGTGTTTTTATTACCCCCTTATAGCAATAGTCAGAAGTACCTTTGCAATGATACAAAGTGCTCCTATATTAAAAGGTCAGTCAACTCAGAACTGCAAGTAAACTTAATTTCAGAGATATATGCCGGTATAACATTTTCACTGACCAAAAACTAAAAATCAGTCAAGTAAAAAAAGTATTTTTTTTCTAACATACATTTAAATAATTGGAAAAATATTATCTAAAATCTTTTACAATTTATCTGTTCAGTCCAATATGGTTAACACTGCTAAAATATTACTTTACCAATGCTCTAGAACACTGCTTTAAATTATTAAATTTAAATTTAATTATTAAATTATTATTACATAAATATTTTAAATTTTATCAAACTAGGCTTTACACAATTTAATAGGTACAAATGTGTGTCCCCCAAATCTCCATTTAGTTACATACCATCCAACTCATCATCATCATCGTCATCATCATCATCATCATCTAATGTTAAGCATAATATTATAAAGCATTTATCAGTAGGGCTACTTATTAAGCCGAAATCGTTATTTTTTTGCACCAGTATCTTCTGTCAGTTTACTGGAAGCTTTTAAAACTGTTGTGTGTGAAGATTTAATTCTATTCTATTGAATTTGGGGATATTTGAGCAGCAGTGTTGTTATTCTAGGGTTCACTTGTGACCAGAGTTTTCCATTGTTTCTTTGTGAGATCAGGAATTGACTTGACTTGACACAGAATACTGAGTATAACAACAATAACCCCCTCCAAAAAAAATTAACACTTGGAAATATTTTGTTGATTAGTTTTGTTCATGGCCAAAGTCCTAAAAAAAATAGTAAGGCTTAGATTCCTATCAATTCCAAACCTGTACAAAGGCATATTCCTGTATCTTTTAAAGAAGTTAAACGTTTCACAAGTGTACTTTTTCCATAATCAAGGTCCCATAGTTAACAACTATAATTATATTTAACAATTAAACATTTATGAGCCTTTTTTCTGAATATAACAATCAGATGTTTCATCGAATCATGACTGATATAATTTTTACTTCTTTCTTGAGGCCCTTATGCTACTTTTGATAAGATCTCATAATAGTGCAATATATATTAAGAAAGATGAGAATCAAATGGGGGAAGATCAGCTAGTTTGTTATTCATGGGCATACCACAGTGGGTTAGCTCTTTCAGCAAAAGATAGTCACTCTTACAGCATGACTTCTAAAAAAAATGCTTGCCTACTCTTCTACAACAGTGTTTCTCAAAACAAATTATTGTAATATTTATTATTTATTCCCTAGCTTTATATGCAGCTTTTCCTCCAGGAGCTCAAGGGCAATATACACAGTATTTCTTTTCCCAATGTACGATAACAAGTTTTCAGATTTTCAGGCAAATTATTTTGCCATCATGACAAACTTCCATAAAATATATCTGGACATTAGACAAGATGCTTTTTCTACCTACCAGAAGGTTACGAAAATTCCTAAGGTTAGGGAAATGAACAAATGTGTGAATGGGGCCCAGCTTTGAGAAACTCAGCACTGGACCCCTCTGGCTCACAGT